CATTGAAGACTTGTTTAAAATGTAAATCTTGACAAACATTTCACAAATTATGCACCCTTTATTTGAACTCAAGAATATTCGGCTGATATCATGGGAGTGTGCTTAGTATTTATTAGTAGGCTATTTTGACTAATATCGGTTCTTACGATGTTTGAAGTAGTTTCAAGATAAAGACAAACTTCTGCGAAATTCCTTTACAACAAGTAATAGCTTGATGTTAAATATTTGGTGTTAGAATACATTTGTGGGACCACAACTTTTCAACTGTACATTTCATCAACTTTTATGAAAAATATACTAAATAAATATCTATTGATGATGTTTTCTGTGTTTATTGTTAATTAGCATGCAGTCTTGTGTTTTCCTCGATTAATTGTTCTTCGGTTCTTATTTTGAAGTTAGAATCTACCACAAGGAGGGCAATAAGTAATTTAAGGATATCAATTATAACTGGGAATTTGCCGTAGGCTATGTAACATATGGGTAATGATAGTTGCATAGTGCAGTGCAAGGCCAGCAGATCCCAACTTCTGCTGGTGGTTTTTTATTGGCCTATCTCCATCTGCAATAGTCACCCAACGAACAAACAAAATACACAATTTTTATTAAATAATTGAACCAGGAATTACTGGACTATTCGAACGCTGAACTGCATATAGTTATATTTATGAAGCATGAAAAAGAAATAAAAATAAGAACAATTTTACACCATCTTTTTTCGTTATCAGATGAACAAGGGATTAGAATATTAAGAGAACAAGGGCCACTAAAAGAGGAGAAGATAAATCACAAGAACTCAAAATGGACAAGCACATACTGAAAAAGGAAAAAATAGTGTCAAAGACATAAAAAGGCGAGCATAACTGTTTAAACTATATCGAAAATTTTGGATGATTACCAGAGCTACCAAATGCCATATGGATCTCCAAATTTAGCAAATGGACGATGTCTACAAGCTTCTCCATTACCTTAACATAAAGAAACATAACATAAATTAGCTTGGTTGCAGAATAAAGATTTATAGTGACAACAAACAAGTAAAAATTCATTCTACAGAACATAACCTTGTCTCCAGTTGCATGTAAAAATTAAAAGTCAGAATTCTAATATAAAAAGCCTAGTCTACATTCGGCATCCTTGTAAAAACAGAAGTATTGACTACCTC